AGATAGACAGGCAGGCAGACAGACAGACAGACAGACAGACAGATAGATAGGCAGACAGACAGACAGACAGACAGACAGGCAGGCAGGCAGGCAGACAGACAGATAGTTAGATAGGCAGACAGACAGACAGACAGATAGTTAGATAGACAGACAGACAGACAGACAGACAGACAGACAGACAGACAGACAGGCAGATAGTTAGATAGACAGACAGACAGACAGGCAGGCAGACAGACAGATAGTTAGATAGACAGACGGGCGGGCGGATAGATAGATAGATGTATAGATAGATGTATAGATAGATAGATAGATGTATAGATAGATAGATAGATAGATGTATAGATAGATGTATAGATAGATAGATAGATAGATAGATAGATAGATAGATAGATAGATAGATAGATAGATGCACACTTAGGATTTTCTCTGTATTTTGCAGGATGCCACACAGCGCGCGCCGGCGTGCTTGAGTTGCCATGGTAACCTGCTCTTTTTCAGCCCGCGAGAAGCGCAAGATGACGTCAGGTTGTCGGTGGTGACGGAGACGCGGGCGGACAGCGCGTGCTCCGGATCCTCGTTCACTCGCGTTGACTGCGGCGGCGGCGGAGCCTCCATCAGCATGACTGGCGTGCTGTGGATTACTTTCACTGCGTGTTGAAGCGGGAACGAGACGCGCCATGGCTGAGAGGTAAACACGACGCGTGTGAAATGAAACGCGGTGATTTATTAGAAATGCGCGAGGCTTGCTTGCCGAGCGACGGTCACCCGGTTGCACGAGCATCGGCGGCATAATTTGCAGCACTTAAATTAAATATGATGTGCATCCCTTTAGTTTGACACCCTCCACACCCATAAGCCGATTTTCAGTCGTTCCTCCGTAAGGACGCGGAACGCACCTAGCGAGCGGCGCGGCGATGCGATGCGATGAGATGAGAGGACGCGCAGCAGCCTATTTTAAGCTAAATGTCATGAAGGGGATGCAGACACCTGCGGCACGCGAGCCGCGATGTCCTTGTCCGCGAGTCTTGTGGTATTTAATCATTCATGCTTAGTGTTGAGGAAGTCAGCGATCCATGTGGGAATGTGAAGTGTCATTTTTATTGGAAGCCACCCTGTGTTTATCAAACAAAGCATTGGCCATGAAACAGATGCACTGGGGTGGTCAGGGACCCTCTGCGTGGCCGCTATCATATATATATATATATATATAAATAGCCTATATATATGTTGTGACCCTGGACCACAAAACAAGTCATAAGGGTCCATTTTTGTAAAATTGAGATTTACACATCAATGAATAAATAAGCTTTCCACTGATGTATGGTATTTACCGAGATACAACTATTTGAAAATCTAGAATCTGAGGGTGCAAAAAAATCTAAATATTGAGAAAATCATCTTTAAAGTTGTTCAAATGAAGTTCTTAGCAATGCATATTACTAATCAAACATTAAGTTTTTATATATTTACAGTAGGAGATTTACAAAATATCTTCATGGAACATGATCTTTACTTAATATCCTAATGATTTTTGGCATAAAAGAGAAATCTATAATTGTGACCCATACAATGTATTGTTGGCTATTGCTACAAATATCCCCCAGCGACTTAACACTGCTTTTGTGCTGCAGGGTCAGGTATGTATTTATGTATCTGAAATCACACCCATCTCTGTGACAAACCTGTCTCTTTTTTTTTTGTACCAATCAGAAAATGTATCCAATCAGAAATGTTTTTGCATGCTCAGGTTATAGTTCGCAAAAGTCAGGTTCCTGAAGTATAAATCGCATTCATTTTCTCCATAGAGGAGTTGATTTGTAATGCTAAATCTTTAAAGACTGACCTATGGTGAGCTACGAGGTTGTTAATCGATGGTTTATGCGTTAGTTGAAGCCATCAGCCTGCATTATTTAAACTTAATTTTAAAAACGACATTTCCCATGATTCTGCAAAGAAATCTCCACCAATCAGAGAATCGCGACAAGCAAATTGCACAAAATGAGCCCCACGTATTGATTTTTCAGATTAATCACAATCTTCATCTTGATTCTTTAAATCCCAAGATCGACCTTAATTTGCCAGTGTTTCCTTATGCATATGTGCTTTTGAATCTGCAGTTATGTAGTCATATTGTTTCACTGTCCAAATTAGATTTACAGTTGAATTTGATAAGATTGTTTATAAGGATGTTTATCGTAAAAGATGCCAAAAAAAACACCTGCATTGAGCTGTGCTCATGAGATGCATGCAATACAGAGTGACTGTAGTTCAATTCATGAATAAATGACTCTTCTAAATTGGTTCTTTTTAGTGAGTCAAAAACATACAATGCAGACCGGTGTAGTCCAATTTACCTTTTAAATAAGATCTTTATAGTAAACCAGAAACATACAGCACAACCAATGTAGTCCAATTCACGAACAAATGAATCTCTTGAATCGACTCTTTTTAGTGAATCAAAAACATACAGCACAACCAATGTAGTCCAATTCATGAACAAATGATTCTTTTAAATCGGCTCTTTTTAGTGAATCAAAAACATACAGCACAACCAATGTAGTCCAATTCATGAACAAATGATTCTTTTAAATCGGCTCTTTTTAGTGAATCAAAAACATACAGCACAACCAATGTAGTCCAATTCATGAACAAATGATTCTTTTAAATCGGCTCTTTTTAGTGAATCAAAAACATACAGCACAACCAATGTAGTCCAATTCATGAACAAATGATTCTTTTAAATCGGCTCTTTTTAGTGAATCAAAAACATACAGCACAACCAATGTAGTCCAATTCATGAACAAATGATTCTTTTAAATCGGCTCTTTTTAGTGAATCAAAAACATACAGCACAACCAATGTAGTCCAATTCATGAACAAATGATTCTTTTAAATCGGCTCTTTTTAGTGAATCAAAAACATACAGCACAACCAATGTAGTCCAATTCATGAACAAATGATTCTTTTAAATCGGCTCTTTTTAGTGAATCAAAAACATACAGCACAACCAATGTAGTCCAATTCACCAACAAATGACTCTATCATTATCATTACTTTGAGTGAGGAAATATTTTATTAAAACATTTGATATGTTAATATAATTGTAAAAAAAGTAATAGTTCTGTTCAATTCTAAATCAGAATTGAATCAAATCAAACTGAATCGAACTGAGCTGTGAAATCAGTATGGATCCCAGCCCTGGTGTTCATCAGAGAGGCGCTTGATGTTTGAGTTTCAGTCCGTGGATGTGGATGTAGGCAGAGGTTGGGTGTGTAAATGGGTGAAACCACAGCTGGGTGGAGCGCAGGCATGTTTGGCTCTGCTCTCGTGAGTCATTCTCAGCGATCACAGGCTCAACGAGTGCTGTTTACCCTGTGGTCAGCGTGAATGACCTTGTGTTGTGGCCGTGGCATTCAAACAGCGTGTGCACAGGTGCTGCTCTCGTCCTACACTGACAAACACCTGTCTCGAGATGTTGTATTTTAGTACTATTCGTATAGTATAGTGTAATAGTATAATATAATGTTATATATATATATTTATATACAGCATGTGTTATATTATAACATAATATTTTGAACTTAATTTTATTTTTATATTTTAAGTTTTCAATTTAATTGAGTAATTTTATCATTTTTATTAGTTTTTGTTTTTTAAATATTTCGATTTAGCTTTATTTATTAATACTTAACTTATTTGATGTAACATGTGTATTTTATATTTTTATTACATTTTATATTTTATTATATTTTATTTTTCAGCCTAATTTCAGTTAGCAGAAACAATGCACTTTTGTGATTTTTTTTTTTTAAATAGTTCTATTTAGCTTTAATTAAATGTGTGTAAATATATTCCAATTTGTGATATTATTTTTATGAAAATTAAGCACATTCATTACTACAGGCTACAAAAATTCTCATTACTCTAATTCAATATTAAATATAATAATAATAATGTTAATAATAATAACAATAAAATTATTCTATATATAATCTTAATGAAAATTAGCACATTCTTAACTACGCAAATTCTCGTTAATGTAACGCAATAATAATTATATATTATAATATTTTATAAATATGATTTCATATATATAAAAATGTGTGTGTGTATATATCGCAATGTGTGATATTTTTATGAAAATCGTAATGAAAATTGAAAATTAAGCACATTCGTTACTACAAAACTACACTAACTATATAATATTATAACAATTTAATTTATAATATTATAGAATTAACCCTCACAAATTCTAATTACTGTAATGCAACAAAATCATATGTGAAAAATATGTATTTTAAGTATATTTTTAAGTTTACATCGTTCTTTGCCTTTAATTTTATGAATTTAAGATAAGCTGGTTTTAATTCTAAAAGATTGTGTTTAAAGAAAATAGTATTTTCTTTACAGATAATATTACAGAATGTGAATTCGTATTTTATTATTATTATTATTATTATTGCATTACAGTAATGACATTTTGAGAGTGAATATGCATAACATTCAAATTGCAATGCAAAAAATCTTAATGGAAATGGTGTTTTAAATCAAATATATGTTGTTTATGGGGTGAAATATTAGCCTGGCGTTTCTTCGTGAAATTGACACGAAGATTTATCGGTCAAGTGGTGAGAGTAGCCACAGAGTGACAGCGTGCGCTCCAGTCATGAATGAATTATTAATCAGATGAATACAGAGAAACATGATGTCTGAACCGTGGGACTGCAGTTTAGGAAGGCAAATCTCAACAGAGAAACCAGTGATGTAATTTGTCCAAGTGTCAGTAATTAATGTGCACATGATCCGCCAGACGATATGGAGGCTGTAGTGACTTCAAATAAAAAATGAGCAGATAACGAGTCGCCTGATTATTATTAAGACTCATGCAAAATATGCAGATTGCAGCAAGAAATATTGCAGATAAGCAGACAGACGCTGCTGCCAGATTGTACGTGTTCAGTAAAACCAACCGGACTAATGATGCATTTTATGAAATAATGTGCACCGTAGAGAAAAAAGGCTGTGCATTAAAGCACTTTTAGCACAAATTAGAGGGAAAATGCAGTGTAAACTTAGAGCACGGCTCATTTGATTTGGTTCAATATCTTTACTTACCCCTAAAGAGGCTTTTAAATAGTTTTCTGTCTGCTTCGGATCATTTGAAACTCAAATTTTAAGCAAATTCAGTCTTCTCGTTTAATGCGTTTCCCCCTCAAGTTAAAAATGTGGAGATTGTAGTTTTAGTACTTCAGCTTACACTTAATTATAAGTTTGTTTTTAATTTAATATTTGTTTAATATTTTGTTTTATATAATTTTTTCTGCTTTATTTCAATTAACAAAAAATATGTTTTATTTCTAATGTTCTAATGTTTTATTCTTTTTTTAATGTTTCTGTTTAGTTTTAATTTATATTTATTTCAGTTTTAATTTGAGCAATTTTAGTACTTCAACTTATTTATAAGTGTAGGTTTTTCTTCTAATATTTATATTAGAATTTTATTTCAGCTTTATTTCAAATATCCAAAAACAATGCACTTTTTGATTTTTATTCTTTTTTTGAAATATTTCTATTTAGCTTTTTATTTTTCATCTAATATTTTATTTTATTTCAAAACAATGTGCTTTTTCATTTTTATTCTTTTTTTATACATTTTTATTTATCTTTAATTTGTTTTTATTTCCATTT